CCCTTCCAACCCAAACCATTCTGTGATTCTATGATAAGGTTTAAGGTTTCTGTTGTAACTCCATTTGTTCTGTATTTGTAATGCTGATCTACTGTGCCGGAGGCCCTGCTCCTTCTCTGGGCTTTTCATCAGGTGGTACAACAATGCAGTACTACGTACTTGGGAGAAAACGGAGACCATCTTTGCTACCTGAAGTGGGACAGATAGTATGATAGCTGATAGTATCAGTATCACTGCTAGCATTGCTGTAATTTATCTCATCTTTTAGGAATGCATCCACACAACTGCCACATGCTTAAATAAAACCGTATGAATAAACTGCACTCATGGTTGTGCACACCTATATAAAAATACTTGGTTATTAAAAGATCAAGTACTTTATATATGCTCTAAGTCATTCCCCCAAATGAAAAGTTCATGTAGCAAAGCCACTGATCAATGCAAATTGTGTAAGGTGACAGTACCTCAATTTCTGTGCCACTCATGTGGAATTCTCTCTCACACAAATACAGGGATATACAAATAAAACTGAGAACTGGGATTGCCCAGCACATCAACCTATCATACCAAGCAGAAAAGACTTCTCGTGAGTTGAAGCTGGCTTCAAAGGCCACCTTCTTGACAACATCAATTTAGATCAAGTGTATTTTCAACATTTTTCACTAATATTTTTCCTATTTTTTCTTGAATTTAAAGACAAGCCACTCCAAATCTAGAAATCCTAATGAGCTTTGCCAGGAAATCCAATTCAAACACGTGTAATCGGTCATTTAACCTGGAACTAATTTATTAGTGGATGTAAATTTTTCAAAAGCTCAGGATGACTTGCAGCACAAGTCCACAGCATCTGCTCTCTTACATCAGCTGCATTCAGTCAGCCGTCTCACAGTCAGCCCTTCACATCTGATTGAGTTTGGTTTAAATTTTTAATCACTTTGTGTATTAAAAATAAAATCACAGTAGCAGAACACTTACCAGGAGAGTAATCTCAAGCTTTCTAAGGAAACACTAAGCAGAGCAGACATGTTTGCTTTATAAACACTGACGCTCAGCCTTAGCATTTATGCGGCAACAGGAAGCCATTAGTCTGTCACAACATTGTATTCCACTGACATTCTCTAATTATATGCTGTTGTCTTGACATGATGCAGTTACTGTATCATGCCTGCAGTGACTGACATCAAGATGATACAGTGAACTTTATTACTTAGGAAAAGTTTATAATGGGAATAATTACAGTCTAATAGTTCCAGGTAATCAGATACAGCCCGGTTAGACCACTGTGTGCCCTCAGCTGCACCTTAAACTTCCTCTGCTAGCATGAGTAGAACGTCCAACGGCTCCACAGATTAACGTGAGTAAGAACAAGAGAGAAAAGCATCCCCAAAGACAGTCTCAGAACTCACATTAACACATTTTGAGTAGTACCTCACTGTGCTTTAGGAAAAGAAATGATGGAGGTAATGGACACTTACCTCCATTAACAGAGTGGGATCTATTGAGTGGTGGGTTTGGAGGAGTTTCTCCTTCATTAATTAGTCTCAGATCTTGTTCCCTCTGTAGCTCTCTGATCATTCCATCAAGAATACTCTCATCCTGGTCATTAGTTTGCTGCCCAATGACTTGTTCAACCACTTCACCATCACCTTCGCAAGAACAAAGCCACAACTGCTTATAAAATGATCGCTTTCACACCACAGAAACAATCAAATTTAAAATTGTGCACAATTTTGGTCCGCTCTGTAAAACATCTGATCACCAGCTGGCCTTCTGCTCTCATGCAATAAATGGAGGCAAAGTTTAAAAGAGTACTTACAATAAAAACCTGAAATTACAGACCACAAATAAAATATAAACACAAACCCCTAGAAACAGCAGAAAGAAATTATGCTTCAGTAGGTAATAATGGAAGATCTCTTCTGGAGATCAGTGTTTTGCAAAAGTTTATATCTACAAGAAAAAAAACCCAAACTCGGTTTTAAATAACAAAAGCTACTTTTTCAATGTCTTTCTTACCTTCCTGCTTTCCTACTCACATCCAGTTACACTGAGGTAAATGGGACAGCACTTTAAGCATTCTGCCATATACATGGTAGAAGTCCACAGATTTTGAAATACTGCAGTCTCCTCGTCTTACCTCCAGGCAAGTTGATTCCACACACCTCCTATATGCCATAAAGCCTCCCGATCTCCTCATCTACCTCTACACTGTTCTAAAACTAGTGGCTTAAATTCAGTGTAGAGGTAGAAGAAGCCACTAGTTTTAGAACACAACCAAAACAAACAAATCCTGATAGTAACTGAGCTCAATACTGCACAATACATGTATTATGCATGAGTTTTAGCCAGCATACCATTAGCTACATATCCCAGCTGAGGAATAAGCTGTTCATCCTTGCAATTTTCCCTCCCCGGTACCAGCCTTTGGAATCTTGTGGGATGAGGATTTCCATCAACATCCACTAAGAATGGAGGTGGCATAAGATGTGGAGCCTGTTGAGTCTGTTCATCCAACACATAGTTATTTGCATCGCGGATCAGTGGTCGGTAATCCGTATGGAAGAACATCTGCTCTGGAATCTGCAAGAAAAGCAATTAGTAAATAAGGCAATGGCCATTTGCAGCTGTCCTGCTGCTTTGGAATGGCTCCCATACCCATAAACCACAACTCCTAGACTTAGGATCCGCAGAAGAATTGTTACGACAGAGAACAGATTCCTACCACAAACGCACTTCATTACCAAGGCCTGATGCAAAAATTCAATAGTAAAATATGCCAACAGAGGTGAACGGAGGGAAGTTAATGCTCTGCTCCCCCGTCCAGAGACTCTCTTGTCTAAATCTTTTTGATGAGGTGAACAGCAACTGCTTCATGATTTAATTACTATTTTGTCTGGGGCAGGGCGAGGGAATAAACTGTAACACAAATACTTCTAAGACAAAATCAGGTCAAGACAGAGACTTTAAAATTCAATCAACCTACCTTTTCATAATATTTATTGCATCCAAAACCAAACAATAGCAGATGTCCGTGAGAGTCTGTGCAGGCAAAATGCTGTCCATCTGGTGAGAACTTGCAATCAAAAACAGCTCCGTGGCCTTGGCCCTCAATCTGTACACGAGCACAGAGCATTCCTTTCACCATCAGGCATTCTCTTCAAGAACGTTTGTACAGAAATTTCACCTGTGCTCCAACAAGCATTTAATCTTAATTCCGTGTAACTTCTCATCTCGCTCAAGAGCGATTTATACTTTTTTATTTTTCCACTTTATTATTAAAGCTAAACTGAGCAACGCAGTAAAGCCTTGCATTTTCTCTCTGTCCTGAAATTTCAATACAACTTTTAATGTATGTTCTGAAACAGCTACCTAGAAGTCTAGATTTTATGTTAATGGCAGACACTGGGCAAGCCTACACCAAAGATCTCAGACGTGTACCGGCTCCGTCCAAGCAGGTTTCACAGCCCCAAGTGCCAGGAGGCCAGCTCAGGTCCTGAAGCAGTGCAGCTGCATTTGCTCAGCACTGGAACCAAAGCAACAAACCTGGCAGAGGGCACATTAGGAGAGGTGCAACACAGAGCCAGCCACACCGTTTCTCAGACCACGGCACTGTGCTACGACACACAGGCTTACTGGTTTGCATTGCTCTACCTTGGCAGCCTCTATAATCTTTTGCATACATGAGTAATATTCAGATGTAAGAGAACCCATGAAAGACTTGCTGCTACACTTACAACATGCAAAAACTCATTGTGGTATTGCTTACCAAAGAGCACGTTTGGTTTTTTTTTAATACATAGAAGTTTTCCCCTAATCCTGTTGTGACACTGGTGACAACAGGCACACAATGAAACCCACCGGCCTAAAGACCAGTTTGACACAAATATGAAAAAAAGCCCCACCCTTCCCTGATCATTCTTACCATGTTAAAGTAATTGCGAATTTTTGTTCCTTTGTCTATATCCCAAACAAAAATATTTCCATCATGACCCGCTGAAAGTACAATCCTTTGGTCAAACGGATGGGCCTCCAGAACAAAAACTTCATCATCGTGACCCTGCAAGGAAAGCAGGGTGAAACAGAAAGCAATGTTTCTCCATGTCACGTCTCCAAACATGCTGGTATTTAGTGTGAGGACATCTCGGTTCAGGTGGTCACCCATGACAGCTCAGTCTACTGGATCTTAGTCTAGAACTGTGGTTGTACTTGGTCAACATTTCTGTCAAAGGCTTGGCATTCAGTGCTCACTTTACACCTCCAACTGTAGCTCAGCACAGCTGAGATGAAGAGGGATGGGGAGGAAGGAGAAATCAGCTGTGAGGACAGCTACAACCCTCTAATCGGGACACAAACGGTGGCCTTCAAAGGGCTCCCTTGTCAGCCAGCAATCACCAGAGTCTAGCAGCATTCTGGTCATCAGCTCCTATCCCCACGATACGTACTCCTCCCAGGAGGCGTAAGACAGGGGGTATATTTCAGGACAAAACACTCCTCATCAGGAGGAATGATGATGCAATTTAGCCTCTGAAACCAATTTCAGAGTTGAACTGTACCCTTTGGGATTATCCACTTGAATTTTACTCACAGATAAGCTATGAAGAAGCTGCCCTGTGGATGAGTTCCACACTTTGAGAAGGAAATTGTTGACTGCAGTGATGACAGTGGCATCATATCTATCCCAAGCCACCATAGTAACCTTCAGCTTAGTCACCTTGTCCTCCCCAGATGCTACATTGTTTCTAAGGAAATCAATAATTTAAAGAAGAAATTAATCAGTAACTACATATGGAAACATTCACAGCCTTAATTCAATAGGAAATTAGGGAGAGCAGGGCTGCCACCACTGTGACTAGTGGCTAATGCAGGAGGATGAAGGATGGCTTCTCCAGGGGTAAAAAGCAGATACAGAAAATACTCAGTACCCTGGAGATTTACAGAGTTGTATTTCCTTAAAAAGGACAAATTTCTCTTCTTCTTAAGTGATCGTCCTCACCTACCCCAATTTTTCCTTTCAAGCTACTGAGTTCTATTAAGTTTCTTCCTACAAGGCACTGTTCTTACCAGTCATCAATATGAGTAAACCATAATGAGTAAGAACCTGCTAAATAAATCCAAATCATACTTCCACAGCTAACTTACTAAAAATGTAACCATATGAAATACAAAGAATTCTGCAAAGCAAATGCAACATGGATTTCTCCTTTTTTTTTTTTTGTTATTGTGCATATTCAATCACAAGGCCACTTAGAGAAGTCACTTGAGGATCTCAAAAAGAAAAACTTGAAACCCTAATTGAACCTGAGAACCAAATCACCATATCTGACCTCTTACTTGAAAACTTAAGGAAAAATACAATGTTAAGAAAGGTGCTAGATATGTGTATTAGCATATCAGCATATGAGCAGTAAGGTTCTACTACAATCTCTTTCTGTGAGATGAACTCTATTTGACATTCTTACTTTGTACACAAAATACAAAATATTCCCCAACCACTAGAGTAGGGAACTACCAATGTATTAGTAATTTCTTCTGGGGGCTAATTAACTGTGTCACTTAACAGACAGAGCCATGGCATTTTCAATACACAAAAAACATACACTGGAATTAGCTCAAAATGGAAGTAAGTAACTGGTTTTCAGTATGATGGAAGATTTTGTTTCGTGAGAAAATGTGGCTATGAGGTGTGTTCTGGTTTGGTTTGGTTTACCCTGTCATTTTGGTAGCCATATCCAGGACCACACTCTTCCAGTCTTGCTGCTGATAGTGCCATATTCTTGCTGTTCCATCCCTGCTTCCACTGACAAATCTTAAGCTATGGGAAAAAAAAAAAAAAGAAAAGCCAAAGTCACGGAATTCTGAATAAGCCTAAGTCACTGCTGCTTTTGGTCTAACGCCCACATGCCCATTGTAGGATCTTATTTTCTCGCTACTCAGTAGCTTCCCAGTGGAGTTTTCCATCCTCGGCACTGTGAGCATGCTAAATCCTGTGGCAAAAATATTGAGGAGCTTGGCAGAGGACTTTCATTCACCTCAGGAAAGGTCACTACAAGCACTCACTTTTCTGTTACTCTGCAACAAACGTGCACACACACATGTACACAAGTGTATACGTACTTGGGGTGGAGACTGGTGTGTATATATACTCATCTTACTCTATATATGCCCACGCATAGGTGTGTTTAACAACTCAGAAAATATCCCTGAACTACTGCCACAAGAAAGAGGCAGCTACAAAAGGCTGGCAAGCCCTGAGCACACCCATTCGCACCAGCACAGAAGCTAGAGTGCATTTAATCTTTTTTCAGCACTTGTTCTTTGTACTGTTTGTGCATCTCTGATCTAGAGAATGTAACCAGAAGACAGCGAGGTTACAATTTTCCTATCAGATACTGTAAGGTACAAAAGAGTTTATATCCCACAACAGTAATTACATCTGGTTACAGCTTGCAGATGGCCTTGGAATGACTTCAATGTTGTAATTCATACAAGCTGCACATTCCCTTTTTAATGACATCAGCAAATCCCTTGAGCAGTTTGTAGTGGCAGTAAGGAAAAAGCAACTGCATGCCAGGAGGCCAGTGTAAGTAATAATACATGAACTCAGGGAGAGGCTGAGGACAGAGAAGGGAAACACCAAGTAGGTAGCCCTGCCTGTGAGGTTGAACGTGGCATTTAAGTTCTTCCCGGAGAGGGTGGGGAGCACTGGGACAGGCTGCCCAGAGAAGCTGTGGATGCCCCATCCCTGGAAGTGTCCAAGGCCAGGCTGGATGAGGCTTGGAGCAACCTGGTCTAGTGGAAGGTGTCCCTGCCCATGGCAGGGGGGTTGGAACTGGATGATCTTTAAGGTCCCTCCCAACCCAAAGCATTCTATGGTTCTATGATTTTAATTTTTAAAATCCTCATTTAAAAAATTCAAGCACCCAGCAAACGCATTTAACTACATAATAATGCTTTGGCTGGAAGTGTCATTTTTGTTGAGAAATTTGAAAAAAGCTCCTCAAGTAATACATTATTCCAGGTCAGCCAACACCTTTAAAAGTATATTCCATTTATAGATCAGACTACTGTAAAAAGGCAAGCCTATTCCATTGCATTTTAGTAAGTGATTGTTTCACCTTTTCAGTATCCCTGATCTAAATTTCTTCATCACGATGAAAAAAAATGTTTAAAAATGCTTGTGATGTTTATTTCCATTTTTACTTCTTTTTATGACAATAAAAAGGAAGTTATCACTACTTTTCCACTAAAAGCATCACCGTGGCACATGAGTATAATTTTCAGTGACTACATGGCCTAAAAGCCCCAGCGAGACCTGTGCTCTCACGCTGCTGAGGAGGAACGGGTGGTGCAATCCCACCAGCACGCTCCCCCATCATTTTACATGACGAAGAGCTCGGAGTACAGGTGCGGTTCCACTGGCAAAGCTCTGGTTTTGCTTGGAAGGCCACTGCTTCCACACAGCCCTTCAACCTCCTGCCAAGCAAAATAAGGAGTAGGAGCGCAAGCTGCCATACGCCCATTTACATTAAGATGCTGCTCGCTAATCAGCGTTTGCCACGCCACCCTCCAACACAGGCCGCACCTCGAGTCCTGTGTTCAGTTTTGGGCCCCTCACTACAAGAAAGACATTGAGGTCCTGGAGCGTGTCCAGAGAAGGGCCACAAAACTGGTGAAGGGTCTGGAGAATATGTCTTATGAGGAGCGACTGAGGGAACTGGGCTTGTTTAGCCTGGAGAAGAGGAGGCTGAGAGGAGACCTGATCACTGCCTACAACTACCTGAAAGGAGGTTGTGGAGAAGTGGGTGTTGGTCTCTTCTCCCTAATGACAGATGATCGGACGAGGGGGAACGGACTCAAGCTGCGCCAGGGGAGGTTTAGATTGGATGTAAGGAAGAAGTTCTTCACCGAAAGGGTTATCACACACTGGAACAGGCTGCCCAGGGAGGTGGTGGAGTCACCATCCCTGGATGTGTTTAAGAGACGGGTGGATGAGGTGCTGAGAGATATGGTTTAGTGGTGGACAGATACGGTTGGACTGGATGATCTCTAAGGTCTTTTCCAACCTCGTGATTCTATGATTCTATGATTCTATGCCTATAGGCACCTTCATACACTTCATCCCAGGCATCCTGACTTTACCTGCTATACGGGAGCAGCCTGACTTAGCACACTTTTAAAAACTGAAAGCTCTGCAGGTTGGAACGGCTCACTTCATAAATTTCAACACCACAGGATTACTCTTATTATCTAATTAACTGGAAATTCATATATTTGCCTAAAAATTCACCTATTTGCCAGGTACATCAGCAGAAAGATAAGTCAATTATTACGAATAATCAAGAGGACCAATGAAAGGATCATCATTAAGGTTGTCCCTCTGTATCTAGCTCTGGATAAGTGGGAGCAACCAAGGACTGGGAGTTCTGAGAGTATGTGATGTGCGTGTAGAGTAACTGTCCCATACACTCAGTTCCAGAAACTGCTGAAAGTAATTCCTGCAGTTCATCACTAGTCACACAAACAGATTCACACAGTCCTCGCTCCAGGAAATGTTAAGATTTGCCCATTTAATATCACACTTGGTGATGTTAAGCTATCCAGACGTACTGGTGACTCGTGAAGACTAAACTAGTAGTGGGTTGCAAGGAGACACCACAAATTCATGGTAGGACGCTACTGAAGTATTACGTAAAACATCCAAATCTTTGTGAAAAGCCAAACAAAAAGCACATATGTAAAGGAAACCTTTAATCTCAAATGCAGACAAATTAAACAGGGGAATTTTATCTGCTAGGTAAACTAGATCCAAGTTTGGGATGTGAGGATCAACTGTACCTTCACATCCCATTGAAAAGCTGTTCTTTGCTTACTGCCCCTTGGAAATAATTCAGGATTTGTTTTTTCTTTGTAATTTCAGAGTTACAAAAACATAAGTGGAAGGATGAGGGCCTGGTTATTCATCATATCATGGTATCACTCTAGAACCTCACAGAAATAGAGCTCCTGGGAATTGTGAGTGTACAAAAATAAACATTCTTCCCATATTTTTCAGAATTCTAAGTACCAGAAGAAACAACTTGCTTATTCAGTGTGCCCAGAGAAGGCCTGGCAGAAGAAATCATTCATCAGAGAATTAAATCAGACAAACAGCAAAGGGTGGATGGCCTTATGTTTCAGCAACATATCAGCAATGTCATATTATTTGGAAAATGTTTTCAAATTATGCTAATGATCAGCTGCTTTCTGGTCCCCAGCTGGTATAAATGATTCAGAAAACATATGAAAGAGAAGTAAATTTTAACAAAAGCCCCCCAACATATACATAATCTATCAGCAACACTCAACTTCAACAGAGTTCTCATACAGATAGCAAATAAGAGCAGAGCGAAATAATGAGATATAAAACCTGCAAGATGCAAGCTAGCTCTACAGTTCCTTGCTCTCCTTATGCATGATACTCCTCATTTAGATGCCATTACTTCCTTCCACGCACCAAGTTTTATTTCTCTTTTCAGGTTTACCTTTTCATAAACAACTGCACTGAGGCTGTACATCCCCTCGGTCAGTGCAGACAGCTCAGATGCTAATGTAAGAGCATCCTGCTTTGGAAGTCAGTGTCACATTCTCATCCTACTTACTACAGAGAGGACAGAGCCAGAGCAGTTGATAAAGAAATAAAGTGGCCTCCTTATCTGTGCCCCAGTACAGAAACAAGGGAAATCTCTCTTCTTGGAATGCAACAGCTACTGAAAGTGCTACTGTCATTGGTAGCTTGGCTTCCCCTCTGCCTCTAACTTGGCCATCAGCACTAGCTGTGGTGGGCAGACGTGTGGCTCAGTCGCCATGCTACTAACCCCCTTGTACACAGACAGAAAAAAGGATGTCCAGAAGTCAGTAACTCAAACGAGACGCACAGGTAAACAGTTATGTGTATGTGCTTATTTTTCATCTTGGTCTAACAGGACTGAAATGATAAAGCCTACAAGCTTCCCCCCCACACACACACATTTAACTTGATATTCTAGTTAAGAAAAAACAAGAAAGAAAAGTAATTGAGAAACCAAATCCCCGATTCCATTATAAACAATGACTACACTCGGATGTTATTGCCCTCTCACCAGATAAATCACCTTGCTGGAGAGGCTCCTTTCACGAAGATCAGAGCACAGCTCCTTGCAGACTGACTTGTCTGATCAGCTGCGTACGGGGAACAGTTCTAACTCTTGCTTAGCAGTACATTTATTCTAGTGCTCTTACTCCAGAAGTAACCCCTTCTGTACTTACAAGGCCGTCTGTGACATGACACTCTTACACAGAAAATACACAAAATTTGGTTTCCAATTTGCTCAGTTTAAAAAAGTACAAAGCAGAAGGAGTTACGGAATGCTTTTGTTGCTACAGCAGAGGACAGCAAGTCCAAGTTTGGGGATATGACATGCACTTTGCAATACACTTTAAACCATTTGTCTAAGATTAATCAGAGCCCACTTGGTCCTGTTGCACCAAATTTTCCCTGAGAAGTTCTTTGGAAAATGAAATACCACATGACTCATGTCAGAATCGTAGGACATCCACTCACCTGTCGCCATTGTTACAGAACTGGACTGCAACCACTTTGTCCTAAATAGGAGGGAGGAAAAAACAGTTGTAAGTGCTTTGTAAGCTGAAACACTCATCCAAAAACCTCTTAATGATAAGCTTCCAAACAAACTGCACCTCCCCACAGATCTCCTACAACATATGAGCTTACAAATTCAAGAACAGAGAAGAAAGTCATATTTGAAGTTAAAACTTCCCCAGACACATTGTAGTAGACTTTACAATAGAAAACTCCAGTGAGGTGATGGTTTCGTGTTGCTCCAGAAGTAGCTCAGAGACAGAAACAATTTCCAGCTCAGTCTCCCAGACGCTTAGAACAATTTAACCCAATAAATGATGACAGCAGGTTTGCACTCTATAGACCTAACATCAAAATATTTCATTTTAAAAAATGCAAACTTTGGCTCTATGTCCACTTTCAAATTGTTGAGAAACAAATACTAAGTTTTAGATGCGGTTTCCCCCTGTTTTTGTTGTGCTAAATACTTGTGTTGGCTACAGGCACTCACTATCTTCACTCCCACTGACCTCTCTAGCTCCTGATAACCACGTGTCCCAAAAAATTCGGGACTTTTTCAGGGGTAGGCTGACAGCCTATTGTATTAAGAAGAGGAGACTTAAAAAAAAAATCATTACAGTTTATTCCAAACCTGAACTGCTGAATATAGAAATCATCTTTTCTTTTGTGAGCAGAACACTTGTTAGATTCATTGGCTTGGAGCTCTGTGACTTAAATAAGAATCACATGATTCTATGTGAGAATCCATGTGAGATCCATGACTCCCACTGAAGTTCGGTGAATCAATTTACACCTCAGCCTCAATCCATAAAATATTGTTATGGTGGGCAGCTGGGCTATTGAGATCCAAAGATAAATGCTCCAAACTCCTCACACGTGACAGCCCCATCAGCGTTGCTCTAAGCTTGCCTTTCTGATATATTGTTTGCCGTGCACACAATAAATAATGCAGTCTTCACCTGTTCTCAGGAACAACTAAGAAATGAAGATTTGGTAATGTTATAGTAGCATTTCTTTACAGTGTTTCATTAAAACTGAGATGGTTTTAACCAAAGCTGTCAAGACAAACTTAAAAACTAACATTGCACCGTACAGATTAAAATAGCCTGAATTTTTATGAGAACCCTTCTGCATTACCTGAGAAAGGATGCTTTTAAGCTTGCTTTATTTATTAAATGAAATTACCATCACGATCCACAGTTTGACTGCACACCGTAAAACCAGAATTACGTTGGTTTTTCTTGTTATGTGGATTTGTGGCAACAACTGAAGTTAAACAGTCAACAATAAATTTAATAGGAAAACTGACTGTGGAGGAAAACTGCTTTAATGCTTCACTCAAACACAGACTTTCTTCAAGAATATGGGAAAAACACCTAGTCCTTCAGATTCCTTGGGGAAGGAAATACATAAAGCGTATTTTGCACACACCTCCTGCCTCAAAGGAATTTAAAAATAAACATACCACAAATTCCCAGGCATTTAAACACCACACTTTGGAGAGTCAACTAAACTCTAAGGACAGAAATCAAGTCAAATAGGATGTACAAAACCTAGGTTGTAGAAATGAGGTAAACGGGGGGGCGGGGGGCGGAGGTGAAAAAGCTTGCTGATTCGTCTCTTACCGTATGAGATTCTAACTGGGCCATTTTCTCCGGAGATTCTGCGCCCAAATAATAAATCCTTATCACGTGGTCAGTACTACCTGTTGCAATGAACATGCCACCTAAGAAAGACAGTGTTTTCTGTGAGAAGAAAGACCATCCAAGGAACAACCAACTTTAATTACTGCTTTATTGTCAAAGCAGCAAACTACAGTTTTAAACAAAAAACTTCCCTATAATCAAAACATACGTCCCGAACAAAGCAGTTAACTCCCACAACTTCTACTCTGAGCTGTACTTTCTCAGACTGTATCAGCTTTAGCATAACTAGGAGCTGTAAATATTTACCAGCTGCAAACCCTTCTGCCCAAAGGAAAAGAATAGCACAAGTTACAACATTCATCCAACAAACTATTCCGCATTCCCTCAGAAACTACCACAGTGCTATCCATCAGCCTATGTGGAAAACTAGACAGGGAACAGTTTCATATTCTGACTGGAACACAACAAAGAAAATATTTAAGCACCTCTTCAATATCTGTTTGACACACATCAGAGAAACGATTGCTGAACTGGGAGTCAGCGACTAAGGTATCTTCTTGTCATGGCTGTTCCATTTACAGTATTGCACAGAAAGGGCCCTATTGTGTAGTTTACTGCACTGAAATGGTTTTAGTTATTTCAGGATTTCTGGTTTTAAAAAAGGAACACGGGCAAGTCTCACATGGCTCTTGAACAGGTCTTAATTTCAGACAGCAAAGACCAATGAGAAATCACATAATTTTATTTGTTAAAGCCACTGTTTTTGATAATTCAAAGCTGCAACAAAGGATGTCAGAGTTAAGCTGATATTTTCAAACACATTGAATTGATCTTCCCAGAACTTAGGCAAATTTGGAAGATTACCAAAAGTGTAATCTTTGAACAGAGGGCACCTGTCTGCCAGATTTCAAGAACTTTTCACTCTACAATTTTACTAGATAAAACCTTAAAGAGGATGTTACAAAGAAAAATCTCTGATGTGCAAAACAACAGACTGAAAGCAGCATAGTCTTCCTTGGAAGTGGTCAAGACGTTTTATCTTAAATTATAGGGCGGGGGGTGGGGAGGGGAAGAGAAAAAGCCTCTTGAGGTAGATGCTCAGCATGGGAAATTTCAAACAATCAGTTTGACAATTCCATAATTAGCTGAAAAATGGTTTAATACCATTTGTATTTAAAAAGAAGTAACAGACCTGTCACCGAAAGAATTACAGTTCAGAAGATACTTTCAGCTACCTTACAAGGCATACATACCGGAACTGAAAGATGAACAAGATATCTGAACACCTGGCCTGGACCTCTCTGCAAATTTCACAGGGCGATCCCTACATGCAACAACACAACATTTTTACTTTTTGTTACTTCATTCTGACGCCATTCAGCAAGAACAGTGCACTGCAGCTCAGCGGGCTAAGGACAATATGCCCATCCAAAAGCTCTTTATTTTGGGATTCTCACCTAAGTTTGCTAGAACTTATTTTTCATTTTAGCATTTTTCTTCCTTAGTTTAGTAAGAAAGCCAGCATTTTCTAAACTGAAAAGACTATTTAACTTATTTATCATGATACTCACCAATTCAAATGTATTTAAAACAGAACCTGGCAAACCATTAGTCTAATAGCACTTACCCTCTATTAACTAGGGGTTTGATGTCATGCACAATGTGTGTTCTTCTGATTAAAAGCAAATGAATTGTCTGCCTCTACATTTTGGACAAGGATTTAGTCCTCATCATAAAAGACACAAGTTCTTCCACAATGCTGGTTTGCAAAGCACAAAACCCAGAAGTAACAGCCCTGATCTCTGCCTCCCCTCTGCGTTGTAATGCCACAGACTCCCCAGCACACATAAGAAAGTGCTCCCTGCCCCACATGCTGGCATGGTACTCGTGCACAGCGTGTCTATGGGAGAAGGTATCCCAAGAAACTTGTTTACTGAGAGAACATGCCCTTCTTTACTTATCTCAGCATTCCTCTCCGCACTAAAATTTAAAATAAATTTTTCCTTTATTTAAAATAATTATAATTATCTAGACAGGCTTACTTAAATTTCATGGTGTTAGCATGCCACTGCCAGAAACAGATTGTTCCGTCAGCACCAGTAGAAGTGAGGTATCGTGTTGTTCCTTTCCTTGCTGGAGAGAACTAAAAATAAAGTTGTAACAGTTAAACCAGCTAATTTCTTGACCCCCTTATATGCTGGAAACTTGTAAATGGACACTAACAAGAATCTTTTTCACTGACATATTAGCTTTCTCCCTGGTAGCGCAGAGAGCAGGGAGATAACCACAGAATCTGACCCTCCATAAAGATAAAGCCTGAGGAATGGAAAACACCTATATTTTGACTCGCAAGTCTTTGTTTCTACCACACAAAAGTCAGTAAATTGGAGAAATGAAACAAGCCTAGACCCTTTTACTGGGGCAAGAAGATGAGGAAATACTTCATTCTAGGATAGAACCGGATCAAACACAGTAACAAAGACAGAACTCATTCCTGCACACAAGCCCAACCAAAACCAGCAGCACAGTAGGACCCCCCCATTCCCTCCCTCTTCCTGAACCTCCCCTCTGCCTCTCTAAGGAGTAAGAAATCTCTTCATTCTGAAGTTGCTCACTTTAATTTCATAATTAATGAGGAGAGGGTGGTGAGGCACTGGGACAGGTTGCCCAGAGAAGCTGTGGATGCCCCATCCCTGGAAGTGTTCAAGGCCAGGCTGGATGAGGCTTGGAGCAACCTGGTCTAGTGGAAGGTGTCCCTGCCCATGGCAGGGTGGTTGGAACCAGACGGTCTTTAAGGTCCCTTCCAACTCAAACCGTTCTGTGATTCTATGATAACTGCAGCAATAATCCTCTGGCTACCTGGTATCTGACAAAGGGATCAAACACTCCTTCCTCAAAAAGCCACAACCAATTGTGGTCATTCTCTAAGTTACCAGAGTTTTACAAAACGCTTGTGAGGGATGCAGATATACATTAACAAGTAACATACAAAACACAAAGCCAGATTGTAAGACGTTATCTCTGCAACAATCACCTTAAAGTAACTAACTTGTGACATAGTTAAAATCGGATTAAATTGGAAGCGTGGACAAGAGAGGGTGACATGAGACTCCCAGGGACTAGTGGCACAATGGAGAAGACTGTGATGAATCAGAAGCAGCAAGGCTCCAGAAGAGAAGGGTTCTGAGCCAAACATCCCCACTCGTTCTCCCCTCTGTGTGCAGTACATAGTACCTGCCAAATTGCAGGGATTGTCTTTTTTATCCTGGAATTTTGTTTTGCTGAAGGTTTCTCCCTGGCAGTTGTGGGTTTTTTTTAAAGCAGATAAAATGCAAATTGCTAGCCGTTATTGCCCCTGCCACCACTAGAGAACTACGTGCTGGCAGTTTAGTCTTTTTCTTCCTGCTCCACTACTGCTCACCGGGCACTCGCCACACAGCTGAAACGGCACTGGCACAGGCACAGACCTCTGCAAACCCTCATCCCTGCTGCACCGCCGCTGCTGCAGCATCCACGTATGCTATGCTTCCAGAACGGCTCCTTACCGTACAGGCTAAGATAACGAGCAGATAAGAAACGTGGAATAAGGGGTTTTATCTGACAGCATTCCTCTGAAACACTAACATTCACAGCTGTCGGTCCAGTCACTGTGCAAGGACCAGCGCTAGAGGCCTGCCATTTCCCTCTGGCACAGCTCCTTGATCTGACGCTCTCGGTGACCACGCATTTCCTAGATCTGGGGAAGAAGCAATGGGACCACCTAGTTAAAGGCAGCTGGAAGAAGCAGGATCATGCCCTCAGGCAATAGTTGGATATTGTGCAGGAGTGAGTTTGCCAGGAAACAATGCCCTCGAGTTGGGGCAAACCTACACTGTCAAACAGAAATGAAAAGTGAAGTTTTATCCCTGATTGCTAATCCACATCTCTTATTACCATTTTAGTTCCAAGGTCTGGCAGAAAAGGTCCTTCCTTACCTGTATGGAAGTAATGGAAGCTGAATGGCCCTGCAGCACTGCGACTGGGGCACAGGTTCGAAGACACCATACTCGCACTACTTTGTCACAACTGCCTGCAGCGAGCAGCGTGTTCTCGTAGTTAACAGCCATGTCAGAGATTTCAGCTGAGTGTCCTCGCAACGTTGACAGCAGGCGCCCATCATCTGTAGCCCAGATTTTGACCAAACAATCATCTGACCCCTAATGCCACACAGAAATTTCCAAAGGTTATGTAAAATAACGTTATGTGTACTTAATACACACGTACATGGCAGATGAACACGTATCCAAACCACCACTGTGCCATGAGCCTGCCAGCAGAACAGCTTCAGCGGGATTCCACAGAGGCACAACTCTCTGAGCCCGGGAATCACCTTGTGGGGTCAGGGATTTAGGTATTTATAAAACAGAAGACACCGTCTTGTTTTTCATGCTACGACATGATTACTGCTGCTCATGTAACTCCTCTCAGTACAGTCCAGTAATAATTAAGAGATAAAATGTTATCTCTATCTGTTGAGACAGATCAAACCAATCCTAATATCAAAGTGGTTGTAAGACTTCAGCTCTAAGGAAGAAGAGCACTTGAGCATCTGAGGGATCTCAGAGCCTCTACCACACTCCCAGAGCTGTGAGGCAGCTGTACCATGAGGTTCCAAGTCTGGTAACAGCAGAATGTTGGACCAGTCAAAGAGAGAAACCACCACGTGCACCAAAATACCATGTCAGTGAGATTTCGCTTCAGGACAGGACACAGTTCAAAATCATATCCAGCACAGCTCACGGTAAAATACTTTTACCTATAGTAGCAGCTACATAATTTCATACTCAATCCCAATATCACCAAGAATTTTTAGGCAGTTCAGACCTTTTCACTATTCAAATACTACAAAGAATGCTGATACAAGTGGCTAGAACTGCCACTATATATTCAGAAACATAATGCAATAAAACTAACTGCAATATCAACATCACTTGATTTTAAATTACATTTTATTAACTACAGGTAAATTTGAACACAAATCACTTTCAATTCTTCATATAACTGCAGATGAGAAAGATTTCTTTATCATGTAAACAAAAACCAGAAAGGCCCTCCCTATGGCCCAGGGTAATTACCATAACAACACCCCGATTTGACCAATTCATGATGAGCAGAGAAGCTAGCAAGAACACAAGGACAACAACTGGCCTGCCAGGTACTCTGTTTCTAAATACCCATTGGTAAGAGACAAGACAAGACAGGCATTAACATCAGCGGTTAAAAGATGCATTATTAATTTGAAACAATCTGTTATTTTTTAAATAATATGCACAACAAAAAGCCAGAGCAGTATCAGAGAAATGTATGTTAATATATTCTGGAGAAAACGTTAACATAACATTCACATATTCACTGACATACTACAAATTCTAGAAAGAAAATTTAGTATAGAAGCAAATTGCAGATGAAGTAATGAGGTCTTCTATCTATCTATCTATCTATCTATCTATCTATCTATCTATCAATCATGTTTTACTGAGATGTAAGGAAAGGATTGCCAGGAATTCCAAGGTTTCCGAAAGGTAAAATGTAGTTTTTAAAAAAGTGTTAAGATTGAACCCAGCAAGCAGCATGCAAATTTATTCCAAACCCCAGAATACTGCAGGTGCCACTCAGTAAGAAAAGATGGTAAATAAAGAAAATCGAGCACACGTTTCAAGGGAGAGTTGCAAGCTCTGGGCCGGAACAACCCCGCTGTAAGGTTCTACCTGGGGAAGCAAATAGCTGCCTGAGTTTCAGTCCACTGGAGCCGTGAGCCATTTTAAAATACCAAGTCAAGTGAAAAGTGAAAATTAGCATAGAAGGAGATAGGGTTTCCATGTATTTCAAGATTTTTCTTCCTTTCTTTTTCTGGAAGCTGTGTCTGCACCTCAATCAGTCACTAGAGGCTGTTGTGGAACCCAAGAAAGAAAGAAATCAAACCAAAGCAATCTTTCAAGAAAAACACAATTTTTAAACTTACTGTAAAAATTCGCCTCCCACTGCGATCAAAGGCTATACAATAAACAGATGATAGATGTCCCAAAATCCTCTTATGCATTTTTATGTGTTGGTAGGTGGATGTTGGGAACAAGTGGCTGAAACGTCCACATCCAGTTAATTGCCTGGCAGAAATTATATTTACTGGGAGAGAAAAACAAAATAAAAAGAAAGCTAAGACATGAATTTTGTCCAGAACTCAAAGTTCAAATAAACCAAATATCATGTTTGGTAACAGCTTTATTATTATAATCCAGAAATCTGAGCCTCTTCCACCTTATCAGAACATTCTGTACAGCCTTGTAAAAAGAAAGCCCACTCCTGATGAAGCCTTTCAATACCTACCACAGCACACATTGCACCTGCTTTCTTACACAAAAATTGAGGTAAAATAAAGAGTTACCATCACAACTAGAAGTTACTCAAATTCATGAACAGGCAACAGATGCATTTATTCTATATGGATTTGGAGAACTTGACATTAGTAACAAATAATTTCCTTATAACAATTACAACAAATTTATTTTTGGAGCATAATAATAGTTTATTCTAAGTGCTTTTGGTTTTGTGATAAAAATCTTTCTTTGGAATGGGTTCCAGATCATATGTCAGTCAATGGTCTTCCACACGTTCCCCACAAAACCTCTCTCATTACAGCAGCAGCGATACCGTCGCACTTCTACGACAATGTAATTGAAGAGTGGGAAAAATGTGGCACCGATGGAAAAAGCCCCAGTCAAAAGAATGGCAGGCACAAGAAAAAGCTGCACCAACAGATTTTTCATACTGCTATACCTAGGAGTCCTTAGAAGAACAGCCTGAAATCTAAATGCACAACAACATCATGTTAAAAAAGTGGTTTCACTGATGCTAACTACAGATCTTCGCACTAGACAAGAAAAGGGGAAAATCAGCACGGCCGTGCCTTTGCCAGGACAGACCACCAAATTAAGATCATTATGGCTGTTGAATACAGAAAGAACCTAATTCTAAGCGTTGATTTTATACAGAATTGGACATCATTTGGGTTATTTAATTTTATCTATCCCAAGTTATACCGCTTGAACTTTTGATTTTAAATGTTTGAGAGTATTTTCAGTGGTACTTAAAGATCTAATATTACTATGTTGGTGGGTTTTGTTGAGTTCTTGTGATAGCAGGCTCCCTGAAGAAACCCCTTATCTTGTCTACTGCACATGGAAGTAGGCAGGGCTTCACAGGCGCCGCAGAAAGCTCTTTAGTGCCTTTGAATCCTTTAGTTTAAAAGTAGAGTGAACAACTTGACCCATTTTCTCAATAGTATCATCATATCACTGCCTATCTACACACAAAAAAAAATATGGAATATGTTAAAAAACACTACAAAGTCAAGAAGCACCATTTCAAAGGGTTTCAGTTTTATGCTGCAAAATTTGGAGCATTTTTAATCACCCAATGCAACTGAAACACCACACACTAGAAAAAAAACGTAGCATCAAAGGTGTAGGTGCTTGCAAAAGTCATCAGACTCCCAGCGCAACCTCATCTTCAGTCGATATTTGTTTTTCATGTAAAAACACATATTCAGCAGCACTAAAAAAGCAAACCACACTAAACCAAATTTGTTTACTGTCTCCGTACTATGCAATTGATACCTGCTATTATACAGGAACTGCTAAAAGGAAATTGTCTTCCCCAGCAAAGTCAAAATGAAAACCTTAACCCTTTTTTTCTCGTGTTACAGGAGGGAACAGAGATCCCGTAGTCAGAAATGCTGTACAAAGGTACCCTCAGGTTTCCCTGCACATTATTTTATTTACCATTTAAGGACACCAGCTTAGAAGCAAAGTTCTTAAAACTATTACACCTCCCTTTCCTCCACACTGTGGACACTGTTATGCCAACAGAGAGATGCAGTCGTTTAGCCATATTGGTAATTCTGCTGTGCCTTTTGGTGCTTAAACCATTTAAATACATAACAACAGTGTACCTGCCTTTAAACAATCTCAAATGGCTTTGAACCTTTTTTTTCACCACACAGGACTGTGTGAATATGTGGTATACTCACATTTCAAAAACATTCCCAGTAATCACAATACCTTCTGTGTTCTACAGTGTTCTCATGCAATCCTTCTGAAAATTTACCACCATCTGTCGTAAATGACATAACGGAAACACTAAAAGGTATAAGGAGTAGTGTCTCAGAGTCTTTCACTTGGCACCTAACTTTTCTGGTCGATTCCCAGACTTGCAATCAGTTCAGCTTCAGAGAGCGTTAAAGTAATTTCCCTTTTTTCTGTGTCTATCTCCCTGCTGGCACAATAGGGACAAAGATCCACAACCTCCCATGGATAATTAAAAAATGAAAAGCACTGCTTATGAAATGCTTCCATCACAAGTTTCAAAGAAACAGGAACGACTGGGGTGCCGTAAGGAGCCCCATCTCTACCAACGCAGCAGCATCTCTCAACAAGGAGTAGCAGGTATTCCATGCATGTGATCCTCGCTGCAAAAATGCTTAGGGCATAGGAGAAACACACGCCAACCAACCAAAGCTGTGACTGTCTTCCCACGCTTTCTAAGGTATCACTGCCTTCAAAGGAACTGCAAAGTAAACCCCCCCTTGAAACATAGCAAACACCCCCAATTCCAGTTCCCGTATTTTTGGTAGAAGATTAATACACAACACCTACATAGGGAATTAAATACACATGACAAAAAGCCCCGTGAAGTTTGCTTTCTTCAGTACAATGAAGTTACTGTACCCATAAAGCCTCAAAGCATTACAAAACCCCTGATTCCCACACACAGAATTAGCAACGTAGTAGCCCTATAAACTTCCAGCAACCTATCTAATTAGCTGCTGTACTTGACACCATACTGGGTGTAACAGCTGCCAGCCTACCCCCTCACTATTTCCTGCCAGGGCGACGTGGCAATCCATGCATCTTGCTGTTCCATTCTCAGAGTCCTTGGTCCTTGAAGATCACACCGGGAGGAAAACTGCAGTCCTCAGTGCAAGTACGGGAACGGTTGCAGGGGCAGAGGGGAGGCACATACGCTGTACAAGTGGAAGTCTTAAATCACGATCTATTCTACTGGAGATAATAGTGCAAATGTAAAAACCGTTGCAAGGAAGCTCACCTAGGAAGGATGAAACCAAAACCCTGCAACAATAACCCATCAGTGAAAACAAAATTTAAAAAACAAACATCAGAAGTCACTCATTTCAAAGAGAAGTCATAGCTTCAGGTGGAATTAAAGCCTTTCAACATGGACAAAGTCACCTAGCTGCAGCAGTTTTCAAACTGCTTGAATTCCTCCTCTCCCTATAAACTATCGCCTCACTCCGTTTTTTGCAAGAAAAATAGAAAATAGAACACTGGTAGAACTGTTTGTTTTAAAAATGGTTTCTCTAGCATTAAGGTGACGATTTGAGATCATACTGTTTTATTTACCTCTGACATAAGCACTCTAACTTCATAATGAGGGCATAACATTTTACACAGCCTCATCGCAGGGCCTGATCAAGCATGAAGACTGGGTACCACTCGCAGCCAAGCCTGGATTTCGTAAGGACACTGGGAAATAAACACAGTTGGCTCACACATGCAAAACATCTTCTCAGAAAGTGGATGTGTGGCCAGAAAGACAGCTAGACCCAGTAAAAGCACCAAAGAACAAAGCGTTCCAGCTCTCAGAGCTGCTGACCTCATGGAACTCGTTAGAGCAGAGAGGCGTCATCGATTTTCAGCCCTTGTTCTAGCGCTGCTGTTTGGCAGGCTCACGGTAGCCGGATCACCTTGACTGGAAATTTCCATACAGCTGAACTGTTTGTTTCCCGAGACTACGCTACGAACTTCCTGGTTCTAAATTTCGTGTTACTTGCACTAACAACAGTTCCTCACATAAAGCTTTTCATGCTCAGGTTAAAACAGCTCTAGCGATCAACTTAAGAGGGAAAACAATCTTCTTTCTAATCTGCTTTGTGTTGTCTGCAAAAAAGTCGTCTCCAACAGAACCCAAATGGTATTCAAAACCAGGTTTATCATATGTGAACAACTCCTGCTGCTGAGGTTCGGCAGGACCAATCCTTCTGTTTTCTGACTAGAAGAGCGCAAAGGGAGTCCTAAACATACCACTACCGCAAAACCCGCGAAGAAACCGTCGGAGAGACCATCCTCACCCTACTCACTGCGTTACCCTGCATGTAGCAGGAGGCTATGACAGCGTTTTCCCTTCCTCTCCTGCCCCAACAGATAACCACCGGCCTCCAAGACTCATCACACAAACAGCACATTCTTGAGAATGCAAGACCTCCACAGGTTAGCAGCTCCTGGGACGCTCCCCCAGCCAGAAGATTCCCAGCTTTGCACAAACATGCTAGGAAAAGGCAACCTCGATTTCCTGTTCCACTTCCACTGTGCATGACCTTGTATTCTGGGGTACAGATCACATCCCATTCTCACAGCAGAAAAACACACTTACAGTGGCAAGCTTAAATCTTTAGCACTGGGAAGGAAATGATATAAGAATAGTTTTAGCTGCTAGTTCCACACCTCATTTACCTGTCTACACAGGCTATTACGCAATCATTTCATCTCGCTCATGAACACACATTATTATGGGTGTCTATTACTGCAGCCCAACTACTTCAGCAAGTAATTCCGGAAAACTCAATCTGACTAAGCCAGCACAGCATGGGAATTCACAATTACGCCAAAATATTAAAGAGGTTGGGCATACTTCTTCCTCTTGAATGTTAAAACATGAGACACACGTACTGTAGCACCTGTGGCCGTCATTACTCAACAGAAAAACACACCCATTTTGCATAAATATACACAGAAGAATTTTGGGACTTCCACTTCAGGTTTAACAATGGGGAATCCCAAAATCAAACTCCTGACTCCAATACAGCTTAAGTGTAGCCAGCTTCCTATTTTAATCTTTATACACATTTTCCTCTCTTACTAATACTTTACATACCTACACCAAGAAGATCCATACTCTTCCAGGAACCAATACTTATAAAAATGAATTCCTGGCTACAAAAGACCCTTTTCCATATACCACCTTTGTGTTTCGTAAACAACAGCTCATAGGAAAACACCTGCAAATCATTCTGTTCTCACAGTCACTAAACAGCCACCACGCAAGCAGCACAAACGTTTGTCATGAGACATGACAAATGCTGAAGTCGGATCTGCTAGTGTGTTGCATTAATAACACTGCATATTCCAAAGACACACAGGCTAATTCTCCTCTTAGGATCCAGGAGCCCTTACAGAAATAAAACCATAGAAGCTGACTGTGTGCAATAAATCTATAACCTAGCCCATTAGCAATCCATCAGCCCAACTGCTAGCAAAAACGTTACTGCAGAACCAGTCTAAAAAAACACACACACAGGTATGTACAGAAGTAACCACAGTAACATATGGAAATAGTTTTCTTTTTTAATGTCCCACGGTGTGACAAAAGCAGAGTGCTCATGCAATAGCCCCTTACACACCAGCTCCAGGCAAATATCCATTATTTTTCATACAGAAGACCCACAGACTTTGCTATTCCGTCCCCCCGCTGCCCCACCATCACAGACCTTACACAAAGCGCGCCATGGATTTCTGCCACAACCAGCCCAGCGTTCTCGCGTTCGAGGCTGACAAAGGTTAGTTTTTAGTAATGAGAGATAACGTGCAGAAGCACAGAGGAACAGCCAGTAGAAAGAAAAGACTGCCATCATCACCCCTGCATCTCCAAAGAGATGGGAGAAACGTACGTGAATTCATCTCCTAACAAACCAGGGAAAGCCTATACATTTGCACAAACACACACAAATACAGAAAAAACACCCTAATGAGAAAACAAATCACGATTTATATTTATGCCTGCAAGAATCAAATGTTTGCTGTAAGAATGGTTCAGACCGTCTAAGGAAAATACGTTCCAGTTTCAGCAAAACAGAGCAGCCCTCTGATGATACGTACGCTGCATGCCTACACACACCTGAGCTTTGTACACGTTCTTTATGGAACGCTGTGGACAACTGAGACAGAAGCAGCACAAATGTTGCTTCGGTGATTATTTCCGTTTTGGAGAGAGATGTTGTAAGCAGTCTGCTTTCTGTCATAATCGAATTCAAATGAATTCTTGGGTCAAAAAAGTTCCCTGGGAGCCAGGCGCTCTGGTCTGGCTAAGATTCCTGACTGAAAGGATTGTCTACATGCTCCTGTGACCACGTTAATTCAACCTTACAAGCACACGTACTTATTACATAGGCTTATCATGAAAAGATACTCAAGCACTTTGCTCTCCAACCAGAAGCTGACATGCAAAGCTTTTCAGCGTGGCCACAACGTTTTAACATGTATAGAGATATTATGGAAGACTCAAGCCTGAATAATGCAAAAAGGGTTATTCTATTGTCAGTAAGAAACCTTTTTTGGACTAATTCATGGCGAAATGTCAAAACCAGCCATTAATGCGAACCCATTCTTTTCAGTCAGTAGGAGTAACTTTCAGCCACAACAGTAATAAAAATACAGAGAAGAACAAAATCACCTTACGTATGTTTCAAAACTCACCCACGTTTGGCGGTTTGCCATAATTTACAGGTAGTTCGGGAGGGCGGCCTCTGTGCAGAGCTGCAAACGCAGATCCCTTCCATAGCGTATGCCTGAAGTCTGCACCGGAGAGATTAACAGCAGGTTAGTGAAACAATCAGCCAAAGTGACCTCTCCTTCTTAACATCAACAGCACCGAGCACCTCTCCTGGCATCCCAAACAAGGTCTGTCTTGTTACACGGTTTGTCAGAGACTCAGCACTCAGATTGCTACTCTGACTTGTAGTTCCTAAGCGACAGGACTGTAAATGGCTTCAGCTTACGTCTGCTTCATTTTGGTGAGCAGGGAGCCTAAACTGAGGGAAAGGAAAAGGGAATCAAAAAGTGGGTGCACTCTGTATCGAGGCAGGATTGAAGTTTATTATGGTTTTAGTCCTCCTGCAATCCCAGCACACACAGGACCTCTTCTTATGAGCTGTACATCTGAGAACACACATCCCCACACACATTTGCTCCCTCAAAGTGGGAGAAGTAGGACTTTTTTTTTTCCCCAATAAATCTGTTTTCCTGCAATTGGTGGCAACATGCCCTCCTTTCAGATTTTCCTCTGCACCCCAACCCCCCTCCCCAAAAAACATTGTTTTTAAAATGAAGACTGTTTTCTTTAAAGAGTCTCCAGCTATCTGCTGCCAACTGGCCTCAGAGAGCCTTCTCTCCAGAACAATAGTGATTTTTCTGAGACTGTTCAGAGTGCCTCAGAAATTAGACCTGGACTTCTTCCATTTCTGGCCATCTGGAAGGAGAGAAATGAGCTTGCACAGTGAATAAGGACTGCAACAGAAGGATAGTGCCACAGATTGGTGGATCTGCGTATCACCCTGAATATGAAGTGCACAAGGTTACATGACTCAAAGAGACTCCCGAGAGCACCTTCTGATCAAAACCCAGTATGTACCACAGTGTTACCATGAGGCACATTAAAACCAGCACTCATCCTTTCTAAAACAGATCCAAATAGCTATAAGTCCTAAGGGTAAATAGAAACTTCATATTGATGGGGGAGCAGAAATCCATGTACATCACCCTTGAAAGAGGTACACCGTTTTATGTGAGTGAGTGTGGTTTACACACCAAGTGGCACAGTGTCGCAGCACCTTTTTCTGAAGGGGGGAAAAACCCCCACCATAAATCTAGTAGAAATCTCCTTGCAATAAATTTATCACACAGCTTAGGAAGCACTACATCTTTCAGTGATTCATCTAGCCTTTGTCGCCTAATTCACCTAAGAAACTTCCATTTCCCTGCACAAAAATGTTTATTTTCTCTTTCCATTTTGTTGCTGTTTTCTTCCAAGATACAAACTGCAGGTGAAATGAAAGGAATGTTTTTCTGCAGGCCTTCCTGCAAACCTGAAGTTCTCCACCCAATTACAGCAAAGCGTAGGCAAAACAAGACTCGGTCCCAAAACTTTGCGTAAGGAAACATGTTTGCCAACAGCACATCCCTCCCGGTGACACCCAGTGGATCAGCAGAATGCTACAGTCCTTGTTAGCATCAGCGTGCCTTCGCTGCATTCCGTAAATTAAGCGCTCAACTGCCACTGAAACAGGAAGGTCCTGCTCTCCCATCCCCACTCCTCTCCCAAAGTGATGCTCCTGCTGCCTGCATCACCTTCAGCACTACCAGCCTTCCATGAGCTAACACCACAACAGCAATAACAAATTTTGCAACGTTTTAGCTCCCTGAATCAGCACATCACAGGACCAAATAAGTTCTGGTTCTTTCTGGGCAGAAGTGGCAGGGGCATGGAGTGAGGAGGAAGGGAGGAACCACACTTTTCAATAGCAGAAGGCTGTTTAGTTACAACACAAAACTGCTCTCAGGACCCTTATCTCAGGCAGAGCCATTTTTCAAAAGGACCAGGACTAGTGATCTATTCATGAAGGGAATGGGGGCTTTCGTTTAAATTAACTTTAAGCAAGGACAAGCAGGAATTACCACTGACGAATCACCTTCTCCACCCTCTGAATGCTGCCCCCAATGCCATTGCCCTTCGAGGTCACACACCTCTCTGCATGGCCAGGGAGTCACATAATGGAACAAATCAGCCTGAAAAACAGCCCACCAAAATATATAGACTGCTGGGTTATTTTAGACACAGGCATAAGTAATTGAAAAAAAAAAAGGCTGTTTTTCAGATGGATCAAATCTCTAATACGGATCTAAGCAAGAGCTGCTTAAGATGGCATTTCCAACCAAAGAAACACATACATAACAGAGCCAGCAATAACTGCATTTTAGCAAGACTGCAACAAGAAAGCAGCAGCTGACAAGCACAGGAGACAAAGCAGGGCTCATGCAAACAGACACAGGCACCACAACATGAATCGAAAGAAAAGGGGTTTCGATCATTAAAATAAAATTCAATCACACATAAATTGAGACTCTTACCTTTTGCTGCCCTTAACAGAGACTGGCGCCCGACACCGAGCAAAGTCTGCACACCTAGGACACTCTGTGGGATTTCCTTGTCTAAAAGAGGTCCAAGTCTCTCACAGATCCTAAGAAGATAATCCGGAGGGATGTGTGCATTGACAGCCACCTAAACATAAAAATAATCAGATGTTTGAAAATTGTTTTATGCCTGCTTCTACTGGTATTTCTTTTTTTTTGTTCATACACAAGTGTTAAAGCTACTGAAATCAAGCCTAAACCCCCTGAAAACCCCCTCAAAATCAATTATACCAAAGATGTCTTTTAAACTCACACAGAGTGTTGAAAAAGTCAGGCCAGAAACTCCAGGCGGTAGCAGCTATGGTTGTAATTTAGGATACCTCTTAATAACAAACAAAACTCCCTGAAACTCAAGAGTTCCCAGAGCAGTACTCTGATCAAACGCAGTATTGCCTGGGGTCTCCTTTAAGGCTGTTTTACTCTTCAGTTAATTCTTTTCACATACAGTATTTCTTGCTTAGCTGAAACACCCTTGCCAGACACTCACATTACTCTAAGACGCACATGTGCTAAAGCCTAAAACCCCTAAAATTATCCTAAAAGCAACACCCAGTCTCCAGTTTTTAGCTACTAGGAGTAGGTATCTTTAAAACCTTCATGTGTAGGCTCCTAATTTGTCATGTCAAGAAAACATTCTTTTTTCCCTTTAGACAGAGACTGTTTTCTATGGTGAGACAATAGTTTTTCCAACAGTCTGTTCAAATAAATTGTGCCTCATTATCCAGGATGTCCTGCACTTGCCTGATTTCTACTATATTTACTAGCTGGCAGCAAAGACTCAACATCAGAGCTTATTTAGCTCCTTCAAGACAGGACACACAGCTACATTCATCTCCTTTTTAAAGATCAACAGTACAGGTCACTCAGCCCTTAAGTAACCGGCATCGACGATGGAAAAAATAGTTTTATTAGAACTATTTACAACTTTTTTATCTGTTACAGTATTATAAAGAAAGACATTGTCATGAAACAGTTGTTTTGTTTTACCAAGCCACAAACTAATGCCAAATAACACTAAAGCTGGCCTGAAAGGGTCAGAGCAGTGCTTATTGTAAAGTGATAGCAGGCACGTGCCTGCGCAGCCCTCTCTCTCCTTCAACAGTGTCCAGTCACAGGGTTGTGAGCGCTCACCACCCATGCAGCTCCCTCCTGGTGGGGTAGGTCAAGGTTTTGTGCAGCTGTGGTGAGCCAAAATCCTTCCCAGTCTGGCTAAAACCACACCAAGCTCCCCTACACATCAGCTCCGGTGCTCACCTACTGCGGAGGGAGGTGTTTCAGCTCCCCTGCCTACAAACGCTCACCCAGCAGAGGAAAAGGCATTCTGCCAGGTTTAGCAGGTTGTGATTCAGAGAAGTGATGGAAAGCAAGGAACAGGACCCCTCATTCAACAGCAGAGCATCAGCAGGTAGGCCCAGCTAGCCTGCCTACCCAGACCCCACGGATATGCCCAGCCTCTGTCCCAGCACACTGGAAGGAGCACCTTGCATCGGGAAGGAAGAAAAGGTAAGTACTTTGCTCAGAACTGCTGCCAAAACATTGTTCACTGAACTATGTCATCAAACAGATGATTGCTACATGTCATTGGGAAATTGTCTGTTCCAATTGGACAAGGGCAGTGGTGCTGCGTGGCTCGACGCAGTGAGTCATGTGTTGTATAAGGTACCCGCCTGCACCACCAGCAGGATCGACGCCAGCCCACAAGTAAGATTTTAGCAAAAAAGAAAAAAAAGGAAAGGCTTTTCTCATGAAATACACAAATTATCATTTAACTAAACCCAACCGCAAACTCTTCCAACCTGAATGGAAACTCTTACAGAAGAGAGCCAGGCGTCTGCGTGCACCCCTCCAGGCACTGCATGTTAAAGATACAGCTCTGGCCTTTTGATGGAGACAGAAGGATCGTACTTCTGCAAGAAAGACAAACCTGGTGACTGCATTAACACGGCCCCATTCCATGCCTTGTCATACTGTGCGCCCCAAGGGACGGCCCCATGAATGCTCTCTTGCACTGACTGGTTTCTCCAGGCATTCAAACTTTTTATTTCTTCCCCAAAATCATAGAGTTCCGAAATCATACTGGTACCTTCCCAACTGTACAGCCAGCGAAGTTCAGTGCATAAGCATGAATGGTCTTTCATTGTTAACTACACGATATAACAGAATTCAAAATGAGATAAAAGGATTATCTGAACTTTTATATTTGCCTACCGTTCTTACTCAGTCCCAAAATATGTGTTAATGTTACAAAATACTTCATTATCCTGCGCTAGCCTCCCTTAGTATGTAAGGGATCTGAAAGGATCTGAAACAAAGGCAATTGCAAAGAGAGAATCTGCAGTTCAGTAAAATAGATTTTACATCTCTGACAATTAATAACATGCTTCTCAGTCAACAATTGCCAATTCTAGCAACTTATCAAACTGAAGATTAAAAGATTAGAAAAGTGTAACTAATCCAGAAGCTGTGGCATTTTACATTTTACTTATAGGGTAGGAAAAAACCCAAACCACACCACTCTCTCTGGAAATACAAAATGGCACAGAAAGCCCAAACCATTCTCCTAGTGTAATGCAGCAAAACGCTTCCCTTTTCACGCAGGAGCACGCTGGTTCTGAAGCTATCGCTGCTGCTCTGTGTCTAGAGAGAGGTGCTGAATTCAGCCTGGCAGCAAACGCAGTGCCGTGGAGACGGAGCACAAGTTACTCAGCAAGCAGTCCTGATCAGCTCAGTGCATCTACTCAGAAATGGAGAGGGTAAGATCTGCAGGTTGAGCCTCAGTTTTACAAAGGGTAGCAAAGGGAGCGAACATCAACACATGTGCGGACCAGCCAACCTTCAGAGATGAAAGATGGGTGAGCCAGACTCACGGAGCATGTGGCAGTTATCTGCACATGCCTGGTGGAAAGTTGCCTGGGACATCCAGACGTTAAGCAGCTCAGGATACCAGACATCTGCTTGATCGCTGCCCAGACCAGGAAAGTTGGCAATCCATCAGGGAGACAGAGTTAAATCCACACAAGTGAGCTGCTGAAGCATCTAGTTTTTAGTGTGGAGTTTTATAGACTGTAAACTTTTCTAAGTGACATTTAATATGGAGCATATTGCCCAGACCAGGCACATATCGAAGCCATCATTCACTTCATTAACACGCCCTACTCACCAGATTTGCCACCTGCAATCAGAACCGTGCCATACTCCAGAAGACAGACTCTATCACACCT